CGCCAAAAGCCCAGACTCCCCGAGAAGAGAACACGACCATTTTACCAAGGGGATGCCGCGGAAACCCTACGTGGAAAACAGTGTGTGTCAAAATCCGACGACACTGCGGGGAGGTCGCGCGAAGCCCAGACCCTGCATCGCGTCGTCGCAGTGCCTCCAGAGCGCCGAATGAAGGCCCGCCGTCCTCCTCCTCCCGGCATCGGCCATCATCATCGGTTTCATTGTCGCGAGCTCTTGCCCAAGTGCACCCTGCAGCCACCGCGCCTCCCTTGCTCACTCGGATCGCGTCTGCGCTGGACCCGGCAAAGCGGGCCCTCGTCTCCCTCCCGCGCGTGCGCCGGCGCCGTCGAGATCGGCCGGGCGAGCCAGGGCCCCGGAATGCCTCCTGGGGACCCACGTCTGGTGGATTCTGACGCCCCCGGCTTGTGAGCTTCCACGGAGTCCCTTCGTTGGCCGAAACTCCTCGGCGACGACGAGGACCCATCTCATCGCCTGCAACACGGGCCTGTCGATTCAAAGCTGGGATGGGACAGCGGCTGCAGGGAAGATAATCGCAGCAACGACTGGCTGAAGGACTGGCTGAACACTGGAGATCCTCCTTGGATCCTCCTTCAATGCAGCTTCAAGCTGAGGGTGCATCAAGTGCTCATGCCTACGACGGCCGAAGGCCGAAGCAGCCGTATACAGTGGAAGCTCGACCACAAGAAGCCTTCAACAAAAAACCCAACCCTGAGACCCCAGAACGTCCATTGATTTTTGGCGTGGGAACGTCGCGCTTTCAACGGCAAAACCATCGAAACCAGGAAACCCAGGGCACTCTGGAGGCCAGAAGGATGTTTCTTGGCACTTAGCGGGCCCTGGAAACGACAAGGCCGTTATTTTACCAGTTCCGTTTTGCCGTTTTTTTGCCGGTTCCGACGCCGTTTTTTTGCCAGTTCCGTCGCCGTTGTTTGACCGGTTCTGGCCCCAGTTCCAATCCTGGAGCCGTTTTCTTGCCGCTTCCGGTCGCCGTTTTTTGGCCGTTTCCATTTTCAAGCTACACTTTTTTGGAAACGGTGAAAAGACGGCCCTGCCGTTTCGGGGGACCACTAAGGTCTCGCCCCCAATCCCCTGAGTTCCCCCCCAAGCAGCTGGTCGTTCAAGAACAGAAGGAAGCCTCGAGGACGCAGCTCCAGGAGGCTCAGCATCGTTCAACCGGTCCCCATCCCCATCCCCTATCCCCTTCGAGCCCGCCACCTAATTACCACCCCAGTTGGGGATACACCCCTCGAAACTCGAAGGATACGGCCTATATCCCCATCTAGGGGGGTAAATCGGCTAGTGGGGCCCAGGCCACACCGCTGGGGATGGGCTCCCACTGTAGTCCGAAAGGGGTGGCTTGAGTGGGCGGGGGGCCACCCTGCGGGCCCCCAAAGCGACGGCCACGAGAGCTGGGTGGACGCCAGGACGAGGAGGGAGGAGGACGCCAGGACGAGGAGGGAGGAGGACGCCAGGACGAGGAGGGAGAGAGGGAGAGGAGGACGCCAGGACGAGGAGCGAGAGAGGGAGAAGTAGACTGGGAGGGCGCCAGGACGAGGAGGGAGAGAGAGAGAGAGAAGCAAGGACGTGATCCGACGCTCGTTTGAACATGCTCTGTCAGACGGGGTGCCCCCCCTCACACGTCCCCTTCCCGTCCTCCTTCCTCGTCCCTCGTCTTCCTGCTCCTCCTGCTTTTCCTTTCCCTCCCTCCAATGCCTCCTCCTCCTCCTCCGCCTCCTCCTCCTCCCCTGTTCCTCTTCGTTCTAGATGGCTGCTCCCTGCCGCACCCCGAGGCCGGTCGAAAGGGCGGGCAGGGCGGCTCGCCCGAGACTTCCTCACCATTTCTGATCCAGCAGCTTCGCGAACGAAGGGCGGCCCGTTTTCAAAAGGTGTGGCTCTGACGAGAACGCAGCGCACCGTCGTCGAGCAAATTTGCGAGAGCTTCAAGGACGGAGGCCCGAGAGCAGCGCGCACTCGTCTAAGCACGTGCAAGAGCTTCGCGGATGGAGGGCAATTCCTTGCCAACACGTGGCTCTCGCCTGAGCGCCGCGCACTCACACACTGCAAGAGAGTTTCAAGAACTCTAGTGGTGCGCTTCCAACGAGCACTTCCCTATGGAAAACGAATCCTTTCAGGGGCCTATGAAGATGGAACTTGGAGGGAGGGTTGAGTGTAATATCGTTGATGAGTCTTGAGTTTGCACTGGTCCTCCTCCTCCTCCTCTTCCTCCTCCCTCCTTAACCTCCTCTCCATCCTCTCATCCGCCTCCTTCTGCTCCTCCTCCTCCCTCCTCCCCCTTTTGCCCACCTCTTCCATCACGCCTCCTGCCCCCCTCCTCCTCCTCCTCCTCCTCCTTCTCCTCCTGCTGCGTCCCCCCTCAATCCCCGACCCCCGACGCGGGCCCAGCCTCCACGAAGATCTGGACCTGTGCAAAGTTCAGGCAGAACCTCGGGGATGGAGGCAGGGATGAAGAGGTTGGAGGACCCGGACATTCAGCGTTTGTTGTTGCTGTTGTCGTTGTTATTGTTGCTGGTGTTGTTGTGGTTGGTGGTGGTGTTGGTGTTGTTGTTGTTGCTGTCGCAGCTGCTGCTGCTGTTGTTGGTGGTGTTGTTGTTGTTGCTGCTGTTGTTGTTGGTGTTGGTGTTGGTGTTGGTGTTGGTGTTGTTGTTGTTGTTGTTGTTGTTGTTGTTGTTGTTGGTGTTGTTGTTGTGGTTGTTGTTTCGATTGGTTGGTGCATGTCTTGTTGCGCGTGCGCTATCTCTGTCTCTCGCTCTCTGTCGTTCTTCTCTCGCTCCCTGTCTCGTTCTCTGTATCATCCTCTCTCTCTCCAGTTTCCTTTTGGTAAGAGAATGGAGGATAGATAAGGACATCGCAAGCACCTGTCAAGTGGCACTTCACATATTCACCTCACATATTGAACGGGGCATTCGCAGAAGGTAGAACAACGTCTGGCAGATTGACGCATGATGATGGCGTGCTGTTCTTATTGCGTCTCTGACTCCCCCGCTCCAGGCATCGGGACGAACATCAGGAATGATAAAGAGTCGCGGGTGGGGGGAGGAAAGGAGAGGAGGGAGATGCGGTAGGTGGGTCCGCCCGTCTAAGAGCCTAAGTGGCTAGGGCTGCTTCTAATACGCCCCCTCGCCCCGAAGACCTCCTCGCGCCCTCAAAGACCACCGCCCTGCCCTCCTCCTGCCACCCCCTTTGCGCGTGCCGCCAATCTACAAGATCGACATGAGTCTTGATTTGCTCCAGGTAAAGAGGAGGCAGCAAGCCAGCAGGGCCTAGTCTTGTGCACCAGACCATGTGACGCACAGAAACATACTAGTACTACATGTCTTCCCTGGAGGCGCGCGTCCGACCCGAACATATAGCATAACCATCTTGTAGTATATCGTTTCCCGAGCGGCGTGGCCAGAAAGCGCCCACCAAGACGCATATACTATACAACTTCTCGGTGCACGCGTCGCCCCTGGGGGGGACGAAGCACATTTAGAACAAGTATGTGGGGCTGACGCCGAGTCCAGGGTCCAAGCTTGGGCCAGGCAGGGGCCAGTGCCCCGGCCTCCGCCGCCGTGTTTTGTCCAGCGCGGGCTCGAAGAACTCTCGATCTCCTCCCATTCATGGGCCAACCTTCCACCACCACTGCCATACGTAGGTAGGACGGGAGAGAAGGGAGGACTGCGAGGTCCTCCTCCTCCTCCTCCTCCTCCTCCTCCTCCTCCTCCTCCTCCTACCTGTGGTAGAGGTGGTGGGAAAATCGGCCCATCACCCCTGCGAGCAGCGGAAAGAACGACGCACGAGAACATGCCCAGGCACCCGCCTGGTTTTGCTCGCCGCGTGGGCCCCCGGAGGTCTGGACCCCTTCCCTGGGGCGGGCTTTCCGTCCCGAGCCGTGTTTGACGGTCCCTAAGGCCCAGCGGGGGCCACGGGAGGTCGAACGCGTCAAAGCACCGGCCGCGCCGATTTTTGTCGGAGCCTCGGACCGACCTCTGGGTGGCGACCCTGCGTCGCAGCCCACGCGCCAATGTCCGCGCAGCGCCCGCGCAAGAGAGGCCCCGTTCTGTTGGTGCCTGCGCGTTCCCACAGCGGGCAAGCTCGGGGATCTTCTGACCGGGGTCAATCCAGACCCGGGTCAGCAGGAAACCAAAAAACTGCAATGCAGGAAAGGGTCAGCAGGAAACCAAAAAACTGCAATGCAAGACAAAAAACTGCAACGCAAATCTTCGCAAACCCGGGTCAGCCAATATGCGCGGCCGCCTCGCAGACACGAGCGGCTCGCTAACCCGGGTCAGCCAGAGGGGGTCTTCGCAGGATTCTGCAAGATCTTGTGCCCTGGCGGACCCCCGTTTGCATTGACCCCCGTCTCTTGAGCCCCGAAAGGCCCGCGACAGGTGCCAGCCGGCCCGGTGAACCCCGCCCACCGGGTGGCGCTCCAGAGGGCCTCAGCCACCCACGCCTGTGGGTGCGGGGTGAGCGGGAAGCTGTTCCTGTCTTCGGGCAGGGCTCAGAACCCTTCTCAGAAGGCCGGGGGACTTCCGAGCCTTCTGAGAAGGCCTTCTCCTTCTCACTTCCGCCCCTCGCTCGCCGCCGAGAGCAGGGAACCCACACAGGACGTACGCGCCCAGCTGTGTACACCAACACGGCCCCTCGATCCGCGAGACTGGCCGCGTGATACGAACAGTCGGGCAATGCGCACGCCCGAAAGCAGCGTGGATTCGTGGACGTGTGCGTCCCTCTCTCGCTCCTGAGCGAGAGGAGCGAGTCGGTGCGGCGGTCCTCGCCCTCCGCCTGGAGGACGGCCGCCTCCGCCTCGAGCAGAGCTCGTTCGCCAGCCCGGCGCGGACGGCCCCGCTCTCTGGCGCCGCTCGTGGGCCCTCCCCCTGCCCCTCGCAGGCCGGGCGCAGCCAGCCCGCATCGGGAGGAGGCGCGATTGGGGCTGCAGGGGGCCCCGGACGCCCACTCCGAGGCCCCTCGAGCGGGGCGCGGCCGACGCGAGTGGCCAGGCGTGGACCGACGAGGCCAGGAGCAGGGGGCCACATGCGAGCCCTACCCCTGCCCCCCACGATTTGTTTGTGAAGTGCACCCCGCCCTCCCCCGCAGAAATCGTGGGAGGTAGGTCAGGCGCACAAGCATGGACTAGTTCGGCGAATCGGGGATCCGGAATCGGACTAGCGATCCATGGCTTTGGCGCGCGGTCGCCAAATCCATGGATCGGAGGAGGTGCCCTCCCCAAGATGCGGCCGGCGTCGCCTCGCTCGGCGGCGAAAGTCCGCGATTCCCCATGGAAACGGGACCCGTCGCGAATCCACGCCCCCTCTGATCCATGTTTGCGATCGCCTGGCCTCCCCCGCCCAGGGGGCGCGAGGTTTCACCACTGCGCCGCGCGACCCTCCCGAGGTGTTGGGTGAGGGGCTGTTCGGCTGCAGGCTCGTGGCGACTCTCAAAGGTCTGCCCTCGCTGCTGTGCCGCAGGAGCTCCGTTTTGGCGCCGCCCATCCTTGCCACCGTTGGGATGGCAGCCGTGGCTTACACCTCCCCCATGCCAAGGCTGATCCCCCGACCGCTCCTCATCGCGCTGCGTTTCCACCCGGACCCCGAGGCGGGGCAAGCAAAGTCACACACGATGGCATGGGTTGTTTTCCATTGGCGATCGCTGGACTCAGCACGATCCATGATCGAAGGAGCTGCTGCATTGCGAATCGATGCAAGAGGGAAGAATGCCTCTCGCACTCCCTCTCCCTCTCCCTGTCTCTCTCCCTCCTCCTCCTCCTCCGCTCCCTCCTCCTCCGCCTCCTCCTCCTCCTCCTCATCATCATCATTATCATCCTTCTCCTCCTCCTCCTCCTCCTCCTCATCCTCCTCCTCCTCCCTCTGCCACTCCGTCCCGACGTGGCCGCCAGGGGGGCAATGCGAGGCGATGCGACGAGAGCACTCGTCGCCCTCTCGCCCCCCTCGCCGCCCCCGCCGCCGCCGCCGCTTGGCGGCTTCCACACGGGGGTGGCGCGAGGGGCGCGTGCTTCCAAAGACGGCGGCGGGGCTTCCCAGAAGGCATGTACACGCTCCATGGACACCCCGCCGCCGCTCTGGCCGCCCCCCCGCCGCCGCCTCCGCTTGGCGGCGCCCACGAGAAGGGGGAGGCGCCAGAGGGGGGGGGGGCTTCAGAGAAGGCGGCGGGGCTCCTGCGGAAGGGGCAGGGGCTTCCTAGAAATCCGCCCGGCTCTCTTCCGGGGCCGCGGAGCCGTGTGGCGGCGGGCCGCGTGGTGGCTTCGGAATGGCCGACGACCTCACCGCACGGCCCGTCACCGCAGGGTCTTGGGACCCTGGAGGCCCCAGTCGCCCCGGGACGGCCTCGGAGAACGTCCGAGCCCCAGGACCGCGCGGTGACCCCGGACCCCCACGGACTCACCACGCGGTGTGCTCACCTCACCGCTCGGGGGGCGCCCGATCCCTCGGCCGGGCTCGGAGAACATCGGGCCTCCTATCGAGCCGCATCGCCGATGCCTCGGCGATGCGGCGCGCTCCTCGGACCCAATCCACTCCGACCCTGTCTGGGCGGCCGCCCAGAGTCGGCTGGAGGGGGGGGGCGACCAGGGGGCGTTCTGAAAGAAGAGGGGGGCCATGCCAGTCGTCAGCGAGCGAAGAACGGTATAACATAAACTTTCCGCCGTCGGGGACACCTGCCCCTGGGCAGCTGGAAAGTTTATACCCCTACGGTGCCACCGTAAGGGTATAAACTTTCCAGCCGCCCTGGGACAGGCGCCCCCGACGGCGAAAGTTTATCTTATACCGTTCTTCGCCCGTTAAATTCGGGGAGATGTCGCGGCCCCCGGCCAGGACATCCCCCCCCATCCTAGCCGACCCCCCGACACGTGCTGAGAGGAAGGGAGGGAGCCGTGCGAGCCGGAGAGATATCGTGGCCCCCGCCGTGGTATCCACACACCCGAAGAAGGCGGGGGGCGGCGGGCGGGAGCCGCGGCAGCTTGCCGGAGAAGGCGCCGCGCTCGGCGTCGATGTCGCCGCCGTCCCCGCCACCTGTCGGGCGGCCTCGCTCGTCCTCAAAGCCGTCGTCCTGGGCGTCCTCGTCGACGTCCTCGCCACCCTCGTCGCCTCCGTCGCCGTCGTCGTCGTCGCCGCGTCAACGCCGTCGCCGCCGTCGCCGCCGTCGTCGTCGTCGCCGTCGCCGTCGTCGTCGTCGTCGTCGCCGCCGCCGCCGTCGTCGTCGCCGTCGCCGTCGTCGCCGACGCCGCCGTCGTCGCCGCCGCCGTCGTCGTCGCCGCCGCCGTCGTCGTCGCCGCCGCCGCCGCCGCCGCCGCCGCCGTCGTCGTCGTCGCCGCCGCCGCCGCCGTCGTCGTCGTCGTCGTCGTCGTCGTCGTCGAGCATGGCGGGCCGAAGTTGCAGATTCCGACCCCCGGGGCACCGCCTCGGGCCCAGGGGCCGCCCGAAATCGGTGCGACCCGGCGGGCCGCGCAGGGTCTCCCGGACCCGGGTCGGCGGGGGGCGTCGGGGGGGATGTCGGCCCAGCGTAGCCTCAGGTCGGGCCTGTCTCCCTACAGGCCGAGATTTGGAACGAAACCAAAACAAATAGTCAAATAATGCTCACAAATACCCCCCCAAAAAATGCTCGAACAATCGTCCCCCGACTTTTTGATGTATTTCTGGATATTCCCCCCTGTAAAGGAACAAGCCCGACTTGAAAACGTAGCCCTCAAAATCCAGATCCGCTTCACCAGCGCCCCGAAAGATGGTCGTCGGGAGGGGCCTGGTGAACGGATTGGAGCGGGTCATATGGGCTGTGGGCTATAGATCCGCGCTCGCGGCGCCCAGGAGGGCCTCCGCACACGAGGGGGCAATCCGAGGAGTGACACTATCAGATGTCATGTTCTTCGAAACCATTACCCACTAGTCACAAGAATTAGGTAGAAATATGAAGGAGGAAGGCGGATACAATCAAATTGGGTTCAGGCCCGCCCAAAGAGAAAAGTCTTGAAGTCCGAAGGCGCTTCGAGTATATGGGGATCAAGGCATCCAACGAATACGCACGTCTTGTGCGCGAATCTCTGGGGGGACCGTCGATGAGGGGCGCCTTTCGGCAGCCCTGGCCGCCCCCCAATGTATCGCTCTCCCATTACGCGGGGCCCATGCTTTAACGCTGGGGGGGGGTCCGGGACGGTCCAGGGGAGGAGCGCGGAGGGGAGGGGGGGGGGGGAGCGGGGGGGGGGAGCAACCAGGCGCGGGACCCTGCCCCTCCTCCTCCCTCTCCTCCTCCCTCCCTGCATATCCGTCCCCCCTCCCTCTCCCCGTCCTCCTTGCCTCACTGCTCCCCTCCCCACTGCCTCCCCTCCCCTCCCTCCCTCCCTCTCCCCGTCCCTCGTTCATGCCCTCCTCCACCCTTCCTGCCCTCAACCCTCCCCTTCCTCTCACCCTCCCTCCTCCCTTCGCCGTCGCCCTCCCCCCCCTGCACGGGCGAGGGCAATCTGCACACGGTCACCAAGAATCAACCCACACTCAGTTTCAGGAGAGCTGCATCGAAGGTGGCGCGCGGCTTCACCGCGCCCCAGCAGCCATTGATCGTCATCGTCCCCCTCCTCCTCCTGCCCCTTCCGACACTTGCCCTTCTTCCTTCTCGCCCCTCGCGGTCCATTCCACGCTCACTGCCGCCACCCCTTCCTTCCTCCTGATGCATTGCTCCCCCTCTTCGCTGCCCACCCAACGAAGCATCATAGCTTCTAAGTAATTGGCGGCGCGTACAAGGGGCTAGAGGGAGGGGGGAGGCTTCTTGGACGTAGGCTGCATCTTAGAAGGCGCTGGCGGCGCACTGCTTCTTAGCACTCCAGTACCTTCTTAAACACACGGGACATATTCTTATATATCAAAGCGCATTTTCTCCAGCAAGCAGCTCAGTTCTTAGAAACATCTCAGGAACAACTTCTAAGAAGCAATTGCAAGCTTCTTAGGAAGGGCGTCCGTACTTTCTCAGAACGGGGGGTGCTTCTAAGAAAGTTTCCCCCCTGCCGCCAGACCCCTTTGCGCGCGGCTGATCAACACCAAACACAACCACAGTTACATCTGCATCGTTGATCGAGGCTGTTCCCAAATCGGGTCCAGCCAAGTTTCTCCTCACTGCCCTCGCTGTCGCCAAACTCGGGCGTAACATAATATGCTTCCCCCACAGACTCCGCCCTTAAAGCTTCCAGAGGCCAAACCTGCCGTCACCCCCCATGATTGGAGGCGGCCTGGGGGCCTGAACTGCTGGGAACCCTAGAACGTCGGCCAGCAAGGGGGGCTTCGGCCACATCCGCTCAACATCGATCTCAGGACTCCCGGGGCCCATTGGGTGCAATTTGTCACTCCGGATTCGTTTGAGATGGTCCCGGGGCCCGAAGATGCTTCCCAGAGGCAGAACCCCAACAAAGAACCTGCCCGCATCCAACACCTCGACGCTGCCCGCCCTTCCTGCTGGCAGGAAACGATGCTGGGCAACCTCAGACCCCCAGCCGGCTCGAGCCCAAGGCCAAATCTGCCTTCGCTCCCGACTCCCGCCTCCTCCCCCCAAGACGGCGCCAACCGCACACCGGCAACGATCCTGGCCGGGCGCACCCCGAGCCCAGTGCTGGTGCACACCCGCCCTCCCCGCCTGTCCGGGGAAGCAAACACGCACACACACACAACACACAACACACAACACACAACACACAACACACAACACACAACACACAACACACAACACACAACACACAACACACAACACACAACACACAACACACACCACACACACACACACACACACACGCGCACGCGCGCGCGCGCACGCACGCACGCACGCACGCACGCACGCACGCACGCACGCACGCACGCACGCACGCACGCACGCACGCACGCACGCGCGCACGCGCACGCGCGCGCGCGCGCACGCGCACACGCGCACACGCGCACACGCGCACACGCGCACACGCGCACACGCGCACACGCGCACACGCGCACAAGCGCACACGCACACGCACACGCACACCGATCCTGGGCCCAGGATGGACCCGGGCCAAGACTGGTGCAGGCGTGTGATGCACGCGATCCGGGTCACCCGCTCCACTTCCCTCCAGGTTCCCCCCAAGGAGGGGAGAAGAGGGGAAGATGATGATGATGAGGAGGAGGAATGGGGAGGAGGGGGAGGAGGAGGAGGAGGAGGAGGCGGAGGAGGAGGATGAGGAGGAGGAGGAGGAGGGGGAGGAGGGGGAGGAGGAGGAGGAGGGGCAGGAGGAGGAGGAGGAAGCCCTCGGGATTTCCAATGCTGGACTGAGGAGCTCGCTTGTAATCTTGGTGCCCGCGTTTGTGCAGCTTCTGTGTCCGCGAAGCCGGTTCTCATACCACGCGTCAGGCAGCCCATCGCTCAGTGCATTATGCAGCGGAAGGTTGTCGGGTTGTGGCCCGACCTGTGGGCAGGACCTGGGCCCTCCCCCCTCGCGATGCCAAGCACTTCTGTCCCAGGTCGTGTGAGCGGCCGTGGGGTGCTGTGCCTCTCCCCCAGAAGGCCGCCGAGGAAATTCACGAAGCGAACGCAGAGCTGAGAATTTCCTGTTGTTGGCGACTCTGGCGAGAGGGCTGCACATCCCCTCCTGTTTTTACCCTGCGGGCCCGCGTCAGGCCGTCTTTTTGGTCGCTTCCCCAGGCCCAGTGGTTCGACGAGCGTGCTGCAGCTGTGAAGCTCGAGTGTGGCACGCAGGGGGAAAAAAACGTAGGCCCGTCCAGATTTGTGTGCAGCTTGTTGTCGCCCCTAGATCACCGCGGATGCCCCGCGTGGTGAGATGAAGATACGGGTTCTGGGCGGGGCCGTTTGAAACATATGTTTCTTTTATTATGTCAGGAAGTGCGCGCGGGCAGGACATCTGCTAGATATTAAGTGAAACGCTTATGGATTTGATTTTTCCCCCCGCCATCATGTGTTGAGTTGGGTCCTCGCCTTGAAAACGCAGCGCCCCGCGTTCACTCCTCACTCCTCTTCCCCTTCTCTCCTCCTATTCCTCCTCTTCCTCCTCCTCCTCTTCCTCCCCCTCCTCCTCCTCCTCACTTTTGTTGTCTGCATCCGTTTACAAATTCGGCACACCCCTCACACGTTTCGTGGCCTCATAGGGAGCTCTTCCGAAGGCCCCAGACGGAGTTTTCGTATGCGGGTCCCCGCCCGCCGCATGTCCATATCGGCACACCTCTCACGCGCTTCGTGGACCCATAAGGAGCTCCACCGAAGGCCCAAATTGCAGGGTTCACCTGCGGCCCCTCGCGCATCGCATCTCCATATCGGCACACCCTTCATACGCTCCGTGGCTCTACAAGGAATTCCACCAGAGGCCGGGTTCGCATACGGCTACCCGCCCACCGCATGTCCATGTCGGTACACCCCTCACGCGCTTCGTGGCCCCAGAAGGAGCTCCACCGACTTGCCGTCGCTCGGACGTCCATTTCCCGTGCATTTTTCGGTTTCGTGCATGTTTTTTGTTGCTCGATGGTCCAGGATGGTCCTCGATGGTTCTCGCCGAGGAAACAATGCACACGTCCGAGCGATGCCAGGCCGAAGGCACAACCCTTCACGCGCTTCGTGGCCCCCCCAAACTCGCGGGGCCGATTTCCTGCGGTCTGCCTCCGAGAGCCGCACCCGCGCGCCCTGCCCAACGCCTTTTCCCTGTTGTCAGCCACCCGTTTTTTTGGGGGGGGGCTCCGTGCCGCGGACACACCGCGCGCGTCGCCAGGACCCTGCGGGGCGACCGGCACGCGTCGCGGGGACCCCGCAACGCGCGGTTCCCAGAGCAGCGGTCACCAGGGCGTCAGGACAACTGAATACTCCAGATTTCGTAAGAAAGGGAGGGGGGTCTCATTTCGGGGGGGGGGGTCTCTTCCAGGCTGTCTTGGAGGGCCTGGGGGGTCTGGGGACGATGTTTTGGAGGGTTCTCCCACGGGGGAGGTCTGAAATGGCTTGTCTTGGAGGGTCCAGACCCCCTCCCTTTTATTACAAAATCTGGAGTAACCAAAAAACGCCTTAACCCCGTGGGAGGAAACCTAAGTGAGGAGGGCCGAAAACACTAGGGATGTGTTTTCTTCTGCAGAAGTATCGAATCAAACCGCCCAAATCTGTGATCCCTAATGCGACGACGGGGACCTCAGTGAGGCCACGTCTTCACTGTGTTATTCGGGTCCGGGATTCTTGAATTCTCGATGAACAAAAATCGGCGGCGGACGAACATCCCTCTAGTCAACAACCCTCTAGTGAAAACGGCCCGGGACCGAAACCGACGGACCTGGACCCGCAAGAATGACGGCCGCGACGCCCTCTCGCGAACCGACAACGGTCAATTCGCTAATCGACGTGTCAGGGTAGGTCTATCACGAGCGAGCACGAAGCCATACGCCGTCCGGCGCGTAGGCGGCAAAAATCGGAATTCAAGCTCTCACAGCCAGTGCTCATGTTAAACAGGACAAGAAGAGGAGGAGGAGGAGGAGGAGGAGGAGGAGGAGGAGGAGGAGGAGGTTTATCAACCTCCGAAAAGAAGGGGGAACAACGCGAGAAAAGGAACTGGACACAGAACGGCGGGGCCCGGGGCTCGGGACACGGCGGGCCAGGCGGGCAGGAGCGCGACGCCGCGCACTGGAAACCACGAGCGGGAAGGAAAGGGCTGGGAAGAGGGTGGGCACGAAAGGGCGGCACACGGGGCTCGCGTTGTGATGCTCCCCTCGTACTTAAGGACCACATCCCAGACATGATTTCGAGCGCCCGGAAGAGGGTCGAAAAAGTGCCGAAAGAGTGTCGGACGAGTGTCTCCCAGGGCCCGACACGTGACAACCCAAGGGTTTCGGTACTCTTCTGGTGCTCGAAAGTATCTCTGGTGATCTAGGCTAAAGTAGGCTGGAACATCATAAGGCTCGCGCCAAACAGTACACTTCCCCGGGGTCCCAACGGGTTTTCTCTCCCAGTCAGCACGTCAATCCTTTTCCTGGCCTCCTCCTCTTTCTCACCTGCCCGGCGATGCTCGAAGCTCCTCGTGGTTGGGCCCTTCGCCAGGATAATCTATATTGTTTGTGAGTTTAGCATGTGCTGGCGTGTGGGTTATAAATTTTGCACATTTTGATTAAGCATGGTCTGTGAACAAACAAATGCACGTACGGCATTATTTGCCAGGGGGGTCGATACCGGCCTGGCTCAGGGGAGGCAGAACCACACGCAAATTGCTCTACCAGGCGGGTGCGATTAACCCTGGACCCGGGAAGGTGGTACAGTCATCGGCCTAACCTACGGAACGATACATAAGGAACGAAGCCCCATTTTCCAAAGGAGTAACGCATAAGGAACGCTATCTAATACACAACGCATCAGGAACGATACACAACGCATGCACACCTGAGGAACGACCGAGCCCCTTCTGAGGAGCAAGTGCTCCTTATTCTAGCCGTTCGCTGTAGAGTTTAGCCTTCTTGTGAAATGGGAACCTACGCGGCCGCCTACTGTTAAGTCGGGCCTGTCCCCCTACAGGGGGGTTTGGGGCGAAAAAGAAAAACTATTCAAAACGATGCCCAAACATACTCAAAAAATAGTCCCCAGACTATCTTCTGACTATTCTTGAATATCCCTCCTGTAGAGGGACACGCCGGACTTCAGCCCACAGGGCACCCGCGAGGCGGCCACGGGCGGGCATCCTGGCGCCGACTCGCCCGGCGCCGCGGGCGCCCGCGATGGCAAAACGCGGCCTGGTGAAAACGACCTCGGGCCCAAACCTGGCGGGCGCACGCCTGGAAAACGACGGCCGCGGCGCCCTCTCGAGAACCGAAAACGGACAACCCACGAATCGACGTGTCAGGGCCCAAACCTGGCGGGCGCACGCCTGGAAAACGACGGCCGCGGCGCCCTCTCGAGTGCGGGCAGTGCTTATATCCACATCCAGAGAGTCTTGGACTTTTCGGGAAGAGGTGCCGCAACGCCGAGGCGCACTGGATATGGATAAAATCAAGCGTCTTGGGGCCAGATGTTTATCCATATCCAGTGCGGCTACGGTTTCTGGGGAAGAGAGCCCAAGACTCCAAGACGCACTGGATGTGGATATAACTATTGCCCGCATCGAGAACCGAAAGCGGACAATTCACTAGTCGACGTGTCAGGGTAGGAGGTCCGTCCACCCCCGGCACGAGGCGCCCACGACGAGGCGCCGGCCGGGCTCCGGGCGACAGCCCAGCGGACCCGCCCACTTGCCGTCGCTCGGACGTCCCTTTCCCGTGCGCTCTTCGGCTTCGTGCGTGTTTTTTTTTTTTTTTGTTCTCTCGCCGATGTCCTCGATAGTCCTCGATGGCCCTTCGATGGTCCTCGCCGAGCGATGCCAAGCCCAGTGCACATGGTTCTCGACGGTCCTCGATGGTCGTCGCCGAGCGATGCCAAGCCCAGTGCACATGGCCATGGCCCTCGCCGAGAAGAAAATGCACACGTCCGAGCGATGCCGAGCCCAGCGCACGAGGCGCCCGCGTGGAGGCCACGGCCGGCCACCCCCACCGAGCACTGGGCGAAAGACTTCCGGCGGGCCTGCCCAGCGCACGGGGCGCGCCCACGCGGCGCCCACGACCGAAGGCCGACCGAGAGCACCTACTCCAATTGCTCGTCTAATCACTTGTCCACCGTTGTCCGAAGAGGAGGAGGAAGACGGGGAGGAGGAGGAGGAGGAGGAGGAGGAGGAGGAGGAGGAGGAGGAGGAGAAGGAGGAGGAGGAGGAGGAGGAGGAGGGGGAGGAAACGGAGGAGGAGGAGGTGACGGAGGAGGAGGGGGAAGGAGGAAGAGGAGGGGGCTCGCTTGTCGGCCCGGGTAAGAAGCCCTGCATGCAAGGCGCTGTTTGGGCGAGGCTGTCGGACGTCCGCGCGGACTCCCGAGGTCGGAGACGGACCCCCTCCCCGGCGCGCGGAGCGCGGCAGGGGCGGCGCCCAAAGCGCCGCCAAGGGGGGTCCGACGCAGATCCAAGCGATCCAGACGGACCTTCGAAAGCTCATGCCCATGCCGGCTTCCTTCCTCGACGCGGGAAGACGGCGACGCCGACGGCGTCGCCGCGGTCGACGCCGTGGCTGCTCCCCGGGGCGGTCTCGGCTCGCGGACCACCGCCGCCGAAGGAGACGTACAGGCTGGAGACGAGCCAGGCCCAGAGGATCACGCCGAGGCCCCCGAAGAAGAAGCCCCACTGCATGTGCCTGCCGGGGGGGGGGGACCAGAATGCACCCACAGCGGTTCGGGAAACCGGGTCGACTCGGAACGTGGGCCGGAGTGGGCCGCACAGCAGACACGAGATTCGACCCGGCCCCCGTGGGAACTCTTGCACATGGGAAGAGGACCCTCCGGAGATGGAGCAGGAGGAGGCGGATGAGCAGGATGGGGCGACTAAGCAGGTGGCGAACGAGGAAGAGGAGGATGAGAAAGGAGAGCGAGCGTGACGAGGAGCAGGAGGAGCAGGAGGAAGAGGGGGATCAAGGCAGGCGGAGGAGGCAGAGAAGGAGGCGGCGAAGACGAAGGATTCATCGGAGGCGAGGAGGCGAGGAGGAGGAGGATGAGAAAGGTGAGCGAGCGTGCAGGAGGAGCAGGAGGAAGGGGGGGATCAAGGCCGGCGGAGGAGGCAGAGGAGGAGGAGGCGGCAAAGACGAGAATGAAGCATCGGGCCCAGCAGCGTGGCCCTCGCTGGGGCGAGCGCGCCGTTATGAACGAGGGGGGGCACGGCACCGAAGGGGAAACGTGGTGGCCAACTCGGCGGTGGACAAACCTCCCTTTAGTAAAACCCCCCTTCTTACCAGCCTGGAACGTGTCCCTATCCCGATGCTGGGCATCTCCTCGTCACGATGCCAATCTTAGGGATGCCCTTAGTTTTTCAGGGCGCATCCCTAAGATTGTTATCGCCTTTTGGCGTGTCAATCTTAGGGATAGGGATAAGTTCGAGGCTGGTGACCTTAGTGAAAACGGCCCGGGACCGAAACCGACGGACCTGGACCCGCAAGAATGACGGCCGCGACGCCCTCTCGCGAACCGAAGACGGCCAATTCCTTACTCGACGTGTCAGTGTAGGAGGTCTGTCCGCCCCCGACCAACGCTGAAGCGGGAGCACCACCACCTCGGAAGCGGAAGCTGAAGCGCTCCGATCTAACAAGCACGTACGATGTACTGACGCTTGATTCGGGAGCGGCCAAGAGGGGGGTGTCCAAGAGGGGGGGGTGCAAATCACGACCGGCGGCATGTGCGCGGCCCAGCGGGGGGGTCAGGGGCGTAATGAAACAAGAAGAGGCGCCATGAAATCTGGGGAAATATCATGGCTCCCGCCATGATATCCACCCCCCCCTAGTCATGACCCCCCTCTTTGCCGCCCCCGAATGTACTGACGCTTGATGGAAGCAAGCGGATAAACATCGACCCAGGAGAGGCCGCGCAACGAGGGCACATGGCCAGGGGAGAGAAGAGATGCGATTCGCCGGCCCCACGGGCCAGAGGTGGAGCAGGGACCGACCGTCCCGGCATTCCTAGAGTCCTGCCACGAAATGCTCCTAGAACCCAGAAGTGTTCTAAGAACAGAAACAAGGTTCTTAGAACATGTACCAGATGTGTTAACACAAAGCAGTCCCAGCCAAAATGCTTCGCCACTGCCTGAAGAGGCGTGCTAAGATCTCCGGTAACTGGTTAACAATATGTTTTGTTCGCGCGCGCGGTGCGGCCCCTGGGAGCCCCAGGACGAAAAGTACCCCGGCAAGGTCCCGGGAGAAGCCCCAAGAGCGCTGCAAAGGAGCGCCATGTTTCGACCCCCCTCACGAGGATCGTGGCTTCCGATGGGGGAGCCGCAATCGACTACCCCCCCTCCGGCCCCAAGAGGCCCCCAAGAACCCCCCAAGAGGCCCTGAGGGCCCCCAAGACGCCGCTAAGGAGCCCCAAGAGACTCCCAAGAGGCCCCCAAGAGGCCCCCAAGAGGCCCTGAAGAGGGCTCCAGTGCCGGCGAAATGAGCGAAGCGATTAAATAATCAGGTTAACAGTGGAGGCAGAGACGCCACAGGGTGCGGGAGCGGAGGCGGCGGTGAAAGACACAAGAGGATGATGCGGGGGGGCAGTGCTTCCCAATCCTTGTGCATGCGCATCGTCGGTAGCCAATATGGCTCAGGGAAAACCCGCAGGGGCCGATTCGCCAACCCGATTCTGACAAAGACTGCATCGATGTGGTTTCATCGGGGGCACGCAAACATGGATTAGCTATCCATGGATTTGGCGCGCGGTCGCCAATTCCATGAATCGGGGGAGGTGTCCCCCCCCAAATACGGCCGGTACCGCCTCGCTCGGCGGCGGAAATCCGCGGTTTCCAATGGAAACGGGGCCCGTCGCTAATCCACGCCCCCTTGATCCATGTTGGCGATCGCCCGATTTCATCGTCCGACTGGATCAAGAAAAACCTGCATGCACATCGCTGACTTCGGTGGTCATCGCTAGCTTCTTTGCTTCGGCGCTGGACTCCCCGCCTCCCCTTGCGCGCGAAGCGCGCAAGGCGCCGCCAGGCGGATTCCAGCCACGAGCCAAGAGATCTGCGCGGACCTTCGAACGTTTATGCTTATGCTCGTCGGCGTGCCTGGGGTGGCAGTGAGAGGGGGCAAATCCTCTCAGAAGGCGGCGGGGGCTTCTCAGAAACCCTGCAGCCTTCGGAGAAGCCACCCAGGAAGCCTCACAGAAGGCGGCGGAAGGTTTCTCAGAAGCCCCGCCGCCTTCCTGGGAGGCCTGCCCCCTCTCGTTTCCCCCTCAGGCCCTCCGCCGAGTTGTTGTGCGCGCCGCTTGTGGCAGTCGGTGGGCTGTCCTCCTCCTCCTCCTCCTCCTCCTCCTCCTCCTCCTCCTCCTCCGGCTCCTCCGAATCCTCCTCCTCCTCCTCCTCCTCCTCCTCCTCCTCCTCCTTTTTCTTTTTCTTCTTCTTCCTCCTCCTTCTCCTCCTCCTCCTCCTCCTCCTCCTCCGGTCCCCCCCTCCTCCTCCTCCTCCCTCCTCCTCCTCCTCCTCCTCCTCCTCGGGCAGTCGGCGGGCCGTCTTGACCGAGGGCGACAGCGGCGATCACGCGTCGACAGAGCCCCCGGAGGCCGCAGCGGCGGCGCTCGCCGAGGCAGAGGGGCCTCAAAAACAGGCAGACGATGACGACGTCGAGGCCCACGTCGACGACGTGGACCTGAAGAGGGGGAGGAGGAGGAGGAGGAGGAGGAGGAGGAGGAGGAGGAGGAGGAGGAGGAGGAGGAGGAGGAGGAGGAGGAGGAGGAGGAGGAGGAGGATTCTAACGATGGATTCTAAAAGAGCGCCTTCAGGCGGCGCGAGCGACCACCGAGCCACCCCTGGTGAGAGCCGAAGCCAACACCAGGCACAGCAGGGGCCCTCCAGACACACTCATGCACCTACAGCTCACGGCGCCGCGGGAGGCGGCAAAGCTGGGCCTGGGTCGAGACACCCCCCGGCAAGTCCAGGTTTTTCCGGAAAATTCCTGGACTTCCCTGCCTGTGTCGGGGCACCCCGTGAAACAGCAGGGTTCCGGCTTGGGGCCGCCCCACTACTCGACCCACCCTCCGAAAACAACCAGGCCGCCGCCTCCTCCTCAGGATCGAGAGACGCAGCCTGGCTCGGCACTGTACTCGCTGCTCCTGGCCCGTCCGCCCCACCGGACCCCGCGGGACACGCTCCCCCACCAGCTTTGAGCTCTCGGCGGGCGGCGGCTTGCTGGACGGCCTCCTCAACCTCGGCCAGGAACGCAGCCTCGCGGATTGCCTTGGGGGCTCCTTCCCGTCTGGGATAGAGCCCCCTGGCAATCCTGGACAAATTCTCCCGCCCTTTGGCAGTCTTGCCAGGGCACTGCTTCTTCAGATATCTGAAATCAACCGTGGCCACACGGCCACACTTGTGGCAGTAGTGGAGGGAGTAGGCCCCCCACCACCCGCGCTTATGGGACGGGTGGATGTCAGCAGCAACCCCCTGCTGGGGCTCCCTGCTCGCACACGGCACCTGCGCTTCCCGACACTGCCTGGACTGCACTGGCACCTGGCACGGGGTAGCACAGAATTCAAGGAGGGAGGCTTTATGAACAAGCTGCTGGCAGACACTGCATTGCCATTTCGAGCCGACTGGGCGAAGCGAGTGGGCCGAGCTCTCGATGGCCGCACGCCGTTTCGAGGGGGGGGGCACTCGCTGCTTGGCTACCCGCTCCGCCTTGGCCGAATCTACCTCGAGGGCCAGCTGGAGTGCCTTGCGGGCGCGTCGCCTCACCAAGGCCGCGGTCGCATCCCACTGGCCGAGGAGGAGGAGGAGGAGGAGGAGGAGGAGGAGGAGGAGGAGGAGGAGGAGGAGGGGGAGGAGGAGGAGGAGGAGGGGGAGGAGGAGGGAGGAGGAGGAGGAGGAGATTTGGAGGAGGAGGGAGGAGGAGGAGGAGGAGGAGGAGGAGGGAGGAGGAGGAGGAGGAGGAGGAGGAGGAGGAGGAGGAGGAGGAGGAGGAGGGAGGACGACGGGTCCTCCTCCTCCCTCCTTTTTTTCCCCAGCGTCCTGAGGTTTTCTCCCTGTGAGGCTTGGAAATGGGCACCAACACCAACACCAGGGTTTGCTTCCACGGGGAGAAAATGATCCCAGATGTTGGTGTTGGTGGCAATATTTCGGCCATTTCCTCATCCTCCTCCGCCTCTTCCTCCTCCTCCTCCTCCTCCTCCTCCTCCTCCTCCTCCCTCGAAGGCTTGGAAATTGGCAACACCACCAACACGGGGGTTTGCCTCCACCGGGAGAAATGGTGTTGGTGGCAATCTTCAGCCACCTAGGAAGCCCGAGTATCGCCGAGATCGGGATCGCCCATCCCTCGGTGGAAGCACACCGCCGATGTTGGTGTTGGCGTCAACCTACAGGCCTCCGACCCCCTCCATTTCCAAAGCTTCCTGAGGTGCTGGGTCCTCTCCTTCCTCACGTTTGCTCTCCGTGACCAGTCTACCAATACGGTACATCCCGTACTCGTTTCGGGGACCCGAGAAAAGAGGGTCCTCCTCCACCTCCTCCGTCATTTTTCCCCAAAAAGCATCCTGAGGTGTTGCGTCCTCTCCTTCCTCACTTTTTCTCTCCGTAACCAATCTGCCAGTTCGGTACACCCCGCACGCGTTTCGGGGACCTGAGAAAGGAGGGGTCGTCCTCCACCTCCTCCGTCATTTGTTCCCAAAGCTTCCTGAGGTGTTGGGTCCTCTCCTTCCTCACTTTTGATCTCCGTAACCAGCCTACCAGTCCGGTATATCCCGCACGCGTTTCAGGGACCTGAGAAAGGAGGGGTCCTCCACCTCCTCCGTCATTTATTCCAAAAAGCATCCTGAGGTGTTGGGTCCTCTCCTTCCTCACCTATTCTCTCCGTAACCAATCTGCCAGTTCGGTACACCCCGCACGCGTTTCGGGGACCTGAGAAAGGAGGGGTCGTCCACCACCTCCTCCGTCATTGTTTCCCCAAAAAGCATCCTGAGGTGTTGGGTCCTCCCCCTCCTCACTCCTGCTCGACGTAACAGTCTACTAGTTCGGTACATCCTGCACTCGTTTCGTGGACCTGAGGAGGAGGAGGAGGAGGAGGAGGAAGAGGAGGAGGAGGAGGAGGAGGAGGAGGAGGAGGAGGAGGAGGAGGAGGAGGAGGAGGGGGGTCTTCCTCCTCTTCCCTCCCTATTTTCATTTAGGTCCAACGATGATCCTTACTCGATGGCCCTCTAGCGCCAACGTGCGCTTGTCCACCGCAGCCCCTTCGAGATGATGCAGGCGGCGTTGTGAAGGCCGACGCAGGCCGCATGCTGTCGCACAATGGGCTAACGCACGACCACCGCCACCAAGAACCCAGACCCCCTCGGGTCGCGAAACAATAAAAAGGGCAGGCTTCCAAGAGGCCCCAAGGGGCCTCCAAGAGGCACCACAAAAAACCCCAAGAGGCCCCCAAAAGGCTCCAAGAGGCCCCAACACGGGCCCCGAGAGGCCTCAAAACTGCCTCCCAAAGTCCCCCAAGATGCCCCAACACGGCCCCCAAGCGGCGAAGCAATATGGGCGAGCGAAGCGACCCAATAACCATGGGCGGTCGCTGTCTAATTTCAGCCTCCGGAAAAGCCCCGGGACTGTCGAAAACCTGCTCAGGATGGAAAACCAATCCTGGGGAATGTGCCAAGACCTCTGGGGGGTAACGCTGTGAAACAACATGACGTCGGGGGCCTGGGTCAAAGGAGAAACAAGGCAGGCGGCGAGATCGACATGTACCCACTGCTGCTGGCGGTGTGTCCGCCCGCTTGGCTTGGCCAGGAAGGCATACGCACAGCTCATGGGCCCAGAATGGGCCTGGCCAGGTGCGGCGGATATGAATAGTTCGCGTCACCCGAAAAAGGCACCACCACCACCACCTTCTCCTCCTCTACCTCCTCCTCCTCCTCTACCTCCTCCTCCTCCTCCTCCTCCTCCTCCTCCTCCTCCTCTCACGTGAAGCCGACGCTTCCACGGGCCTCGGGCTGCTGGCCGCACGCTGCCCCGGGCGGAGTCCAGCCGGCGAGGGCCCCCCTGCGCCCGGGCTCCCTGGCACCGCTGGAACCACCACCACCACCACCACCATCACCACCATCACCACCATCACCACCCACCACCCACCAACCACCACCCACCACCCACCACCCACCACCCACCACCCACCACCCACCACCACCACCACCACCACCACCACCACCACCACCACCACCACCACCACCACCACCACCACCACCACCACCACCGCCGACAGCCCCTCGCGGGGCGGTCCCCGAAGCGGTGGCACGCCCGACCGTCGTCGGCCCAGGGGCTGGCCGCCCCCTGCCCGCCCACATTTGTGGATCAGTCCAAGAGGTGAGCGTTTTCTTATTCGGCGTTTCGACATTGTGCGGGAGGGGGGGGGGAAGGGGCTCTGGCTCCGACCTCTGCTTAATGCGACTGTTTGCAGCAGTGCGTGCTGGGGAGGGGTCACCTGCGTGAACCAAACCAAAAGCCAAAAACAACCAACATCTACTCCATGGGGGGTGGGCGAGGGCCCGCGCCGATCGGCAACACGTGGACAAATGTTGAGCGAAGGCAGCACACGTCACAGCACATCATCCTCGTGTCAGGAAGGTCAGCCCGAACCTGTCCCGAAAACTCCGCGAATGTTGTCCCAAACGTCCGCCGACCCCCACGTCAACCGAATCCCACGCGCAACAGGCCATCGACAACCGCCCCGTGGACGCGCCCGCAGAACGGGACCATAGTATATGTGCTGCCCTCTCGGAACAACTCGACTGCACGAGTGAAAGTGCGACTTCGGACCCCTGGAAGAACCGACGCGGACGTAGCTGACGCATTGACAGCAGCACCGGGCAGACGCCAGAGCGCAGACTGTCCCTGAGATTTTACACGTCGCAACGCGGCAGAGGCAATCCGCACGCGCGTCCGAATGACGCTGGGGCACGGGGTCACGAATTGGCTCGCATGCAGGAGGGGGGGAACGAAGGGGCGGCGGCCGCGGGGGAGGAGAGAAAGGGGCGCGGGGCCCACGCACGCAGCGGGGCTGCGCGGAGGGCGGGGGCGCGGCCCGGCCGAGGTCCGAGCTGGCAGCGGCCGCGGGGCGGCGTCGCAGCGCGCCCCAGGGCCGGGGGGCCAGCGGCCACGGCGCGGGCGCGACCCGGCAAGCGGAAGAGGTGGGGGGCGGCGGCAGCCGGAGACGAGGTGGCCTGAAGGGGCCCTGGGACACACAAATAAATACACACAAGGAAAAGGATGCCCCATATCTTCCCATATTTCCTGGGGTTTTGTCTTCCCCCCCACTTCCCCTATTTCCCCATATTTTCCTGGAAGGCGACGATCAATTGTGTCTGTGTGTGTTTCTTTCCCTCCTGACAGGTGGCCCGCGGGAAGGACAGGGGGGCCAGCGGCGCGGAGCGGCGCGGCCAGCGGGCGCTGCAGCAGCTGCACGGGGGGGGCGGCCAGCGCACTCCGGGCGCGGGGCGAGGTGGAACAGCGGCGGAGGGAACAGAGCGCCACTCGCTGAGCGGTGCACGGCACCGCGGCAGGAGTGGCGCGACGCCCGATGCAGGTGGCGCACGGGCGGGGCCCTCGAGGGGAAAGAGCCCAGCCAGCTGTCCAGCACGGCGGCGTGGGCAGGGCAAGGGCGAACCGCAGTGGCCGAGGCCCCCTTCGGCGGGGCAGCGACTGCGGCTGAGGCAGCACCACCGGTGGCGCAGGGGGCTGCAGCGCCTGCGCGCGCCCTTGGGGCGCGGTGCGCGGGAGGGGGCGGGCCGCCTCCGGCTGGTGCACGGGCGTCACGGCCCGGGGCGGCGGTGGGTGTCGAACCGCATGGCGGGGCCGACCAAGAACGGGGGGGGGGAACTTTCCCGGGGTGGCTGGCTGGATTCTGGTCGGATCTTCGCCGGGTCGCGCTCTGATCAGGAAGGGCTTGGGAGCGAATTCAGCAAGGGAGCCAAGGAAGGGTGGGCAAGTGTGTCAGCATCTCCCGCTCTTAAGTCGGGCCTGTCCCCCTACAGGGGGAGTTTCGACGAAACATAAGAAATACCCCCCAACAAATCAAATGATCCCGGCAAAGCAACCTAACAGCGACGTGTAGGAGCATATCTGGAAGCATTCCCCTTAAGATTCACATGAGAATCCAGTTGTAGAATTCTGCTGTTCTCGCAGTCGCAGTCGCATTCGCGATGAAAGCCGCAGTGGCAACGGCAGTCGCAGTCACAGCCTCAGCCTGCCTCAGCCTCAGCCTCAGCCTGCCTCAGCCTCAGCCTCAGCCTCAGCCTGCATCAGCCTCAGCCTCAGCCTCAGCCTGCCTCAGCTCAGCCTGCCTCAGCCTCAGCCTCAGCCTGCCTCAGCCTCAGCCTCAGCCTGCTTCAGCCTCAGCCTCAGTCTGCCTTCAGCCTCGGCCTCAGCCTCAGCCTGCCTCAGCCTCAGCCTGCATCAGCCTCAGCCTCAGCCTCAGCCTGCCTCAGCATCAGCCTGCCTCAGCCTCAGCCTCAGCCTGCCTCAGCCTCAGCCTCAGCCTGCTTCAGCCTCAGCCTCAGTCTGCCTTCAGCCTCGGCCTCAGCCTCAGCCTGCCTCAGCCTCAGCCTGCATCAGCCTCAGCCTCAGCCTCAGCCTGCCTCAGCATCAGCCTGCCTCAGCCTCAGCCTCAGCCTGCCTCAGCCTCAGCCTCAGTCTGCTTCAGCCTCAGCCTCAGTCTGCCTTCAGCCTCGGCCTCAGCCTCAGCCTGCCTCAGCCTCAGCCTGCCTCAGCCTCAGCCTCAGCCTGCCTCAGCATTCAAAATGTGGCCCAGGAATGGAGTTCTGGGAACTAGAAGAACACGAAGTGGCCTGCAGTTGGCTCCGGGCATTCAAAATCATGCCCAGGAATGGAGTTCTGGTAACTCGAAGACCACGAAGTGGCCTACAGTTGGCTCCGGGCATTCAAAATCATGCCCTGGAATGAAGTTTTGGGAACTCGAAGAGCACGAAGTGGCCTACAGTTGGCTCCGGGCACTCAAAATGTGGCCCAGGAGCGGAGTTCTGGGAACTCGAAGACCACGAAGTAGCCTACAGTTGGCTCCGGGCATTCAGAATGTGGCCCGGGAATGGAGTTTTGGAGCTCGAAGAGCACGAAGTGGCCTACAGTTGGCTCTGGGCACTCAAAATGTGGCCCGGGAATGGAGTTCTGGGAGCTCGAAGAGCACGAAGTGGCTTACAGTTGGCTCCGGGCATCCAGAATGTGGCCCGGGAATGGAGTTTTGGAGCTCGAAGAGCACGAAGTGGCTTACAGTTGGCTCGGGGCATTCAAAATGTGGCCCGGGAGTGGAGTTCTGGGAGGTCGAAGAGCACGAAGTGACGAGCCCGGCCCTGAGCCCGGCCCTCGCTGTCCGGATGCCGCCCAGACCTCCCTTCTGAGTCATCAGATGCTCTCTTTTGACACCACTAGAAACCTATCAGTCTTCGCTGGTGGGTAAAAATAATCCAAAAATAGTCAGGGGCCTACTTTTTTGAATATTGTTTGATCTTCCTGGGGTATTTTTGGGGTATGTTTAATTTTTCGTAGAAGTTCCCCCTGTAGGGGGACAGGCCCGACATACTCCCACTCTTACGAGATCAATCAACGTCGGCTCGGGAAATCCATTCGAGTCGGAACATGCGTCGGATCGGTCTGTATCGGCACGGTGCGCCAGGATGCGCACCAAGCATCGGGCCGCACCGGATCGACGGAACATCGGCGCCGAATCGACCTCGACACCGAACCAGATCGGGTCGACATGGGCCCTGGGCGGGCGGGCAGCGGCATCACTATCTCTCCCTCCTCCTCCTCCTCCTCCTCCTCCTCCTCCTCCTCCTCCTCCGTTTCCCTCCTCCGTTTCCTTCCTCCGTTTCCCTCCTCCGTTTCCCTCCTCCGTTTCCCTCCTCCGTTCCTCCTCCTCCTCCTCTCCTCCTCCTTCCTCCTCCCCTCCCCCCTCCTCCTCCTTCCTCCTCCCCTCCTCCTCTCTCCTCCTCCTCCTCCTCCTCCTCCTCCTCCTCCTCCTCCTCCTCCTCCTCCTCCTCTCTCCTCCTCCTCCTTCTCCTCCTCCTCCTCTCCTCCTCTCCTCCTCCTCCCCTCCTCCTCCTCCTCCTCCTCCTCCTCCTCCTCTCCTCCCCCTATCATCATTCTCCTCCTCCTTTCCCTCTCCTCCTCCTCCTCCTCCTCCTCCTATCCCTCCTCTCCCTCCCCTGGCCCCCGTCGTCCAGGCGGACCGCGAGGGCCGTGACAACCACTCCTGCGCCCGCCCTCCGCTCTCACCTCCACGCCCCGCGGGCGCTGCTCCCCTTCGAAGGCAAGCCCTGGGAGGGTTTCGCAAGAACGATTGAGGGCCCCCAAGGATATACACCACCACCATGTCGATTCCTCCTCCCTCCTCTACCCTCCTCTTCCTCTCCTCTTTCCCGGGAGAGGGAGGGGGTGAGAGAGGTGGTGGTGGCGTATATTTTTGGGCCCTCCACGATTCACAGCGATGAGGCCCACCCGAGAAGCCACTGAGCTGGACTATGCCGAGTTGAGCCTGGAACTGAGCCGAATCGGGCGGGGTGATGCGGAACTGAACGGGATCAGGCCGGCGTTCGACCGTGGACAGTCCAGCGGCGAAGCTCAATTAAGACTTCCCAGGGGCTACATCCTGACTTTGGAAACTCCAGGTTTCGCCAAGGACTGGTTCCCCCCCAAAGAACCCAAACCCCTTCCGGAATCATCAGAAAAAGCCTTTCGGAACCCTTCCTGGAGGGTTTACGAAAGGTTTTGGTAGGGTTTCGGCCATTCGGGGGCAAAACCAAACCTCGTCGAAACCTGGATTTCTCATCCTACCTTCCCCTCTGTCTCCCAGCTGCCCTTGAGTGAGCCTTCAGGGGAGCTTCTGTGGACCTCCGCGGTCCTATCATAAACGTGAATTAAACCAAGTCTCGTTTAGACTTCGACCACCTTTCTTCAATATTTCGTCCAGATTTCGACCGGGTCCGCCGAAATCTGCACGACATCGCCCATACCGCGAGGAATTTTGTGACCCCTTGCCGTCGCTCGGACGTCCAAGTACCGTGTATTTGTCGGTTTCGTGCGTGTTTTTTTGCTCGATGGTCCAGGATGGTCCTAGATGGTTCTCGCCGAGAAAAAATGCACACGTCCGAGCGATGCCAAGACCCTGTGCGGCTCCCATGAAGGACCACACAACTGCCCCTCCCCCAGGGCGGACCGCGAGGGCAGCGATGACCAGCCTCCTCTCCCAGCGCGGCACCGGGGCCGCAGAGCCAGTGTCCTCCCCGCCCAGGGGCACGCTCCCCGCCGCATGCCGGCGCCGTCGCCGCCGCCGTCGGGCCTCTCGGACAGCACTGTTCTGATCGGGGCGGTGGTGCACGCCTGCCGCCATGACCACGGCCGCCCAGCCCTCGCGGCGCAGGCGCGGGTGTCGCTCGTGTGCTCGCCACCCGAGCCATCCCCGCCGCCCACCACTTGCAACCCCTGCCCGGACTCCCAGGCGGGGCCTCGCTCCCAGGCCCAGGGTTCGGGGTCCTCGGGCGGCGGTCCGGCGGACGTCCGCGCTGCGGGCACGAGGCCACGGAGCCAGAGGCAGGGCCACTCGACAACCTCCCGGACAGCCACCTCCCCGTCAGATCTGGGCGTCAGCCGAGTCTTTGCCGCCAGCTTTTCTACGGAAGGTTCTTGTGGTGACGACCCTCGTGCAACCTTGAACGATCGACGGCTTTCCGATAACGCAGACCGTTCGATGCGGGCCGACTCTGGGCTGCTGGCGGCACTCATCCTTGAATGCCCGCGCTGGGGTCGCGGCGAGCCGCCACGACCCGAACCTGCCGTACGTTGTTCTGCATCTGGGGGCAGCCTCTGGCCCGGGGCCCGTCCAAGCAAACGGCTCAGGAGGAGGAGGAGGAGGAGGAGGAGGAGGAGGAGGAGGAGGAGGAGGAGGAGGAGGAGGAGGAGGAGGAGG